CAGTTAAAATTTTTCCATGGCGCCCTATCCTAAGTATGGTTATTCGTAAAAGATAAAAATAAATAAAATTCGTGTATCTTCATTATTTTTTTACTTTATTAACATTACATTAATATATAGCCAATACATTTATGAATAAGTTCGACTTAACCATGGCAGTTTCTTGTTTCTTGTGTTCCCTAAAGTGCTTTTCACCTATGCTTTATTCCCTTTGACTGGACATGGAGCCTTCTTCATGCATTTTAGGCAAATATGGTTTCGACTTATGTGTTTTAATCTTTTATTTTAGTGAATAATGTATAACAGTGCACCAAATATGCTGCTAGGCCTCATGCTAACCTTTCCTTATGTTAATCTTTATTATTTCTCCTGCATATAAGATGGCAATGCTCCTTTAGCTTCAAACAATCTTCCTCCCAGCAAGCGCCATCGTTGCAGTGGACCCTCTGGTACTGAGACAGAGCCGGAGCATGAAAATAACACAAATAAACAGAGTCAATTCGGTTGGATTAGTTCAGTCCTACGCGGCCTGGCGGCATCTAGCAACATTGGCTGCCACTCATTTCTATTAGCAGAATCCTCGACAGCGCCAGTTGAATCACGCCTCAGCTACCGAGTCCGCGATGTCCAGGGCTTCCAGCAAGCTCCAGCGCTGTTTCTTACACTTCATCTTACATATGAAGTTAGCCTACCAATCCGTTTGGTTGTCCTAAATGATCTATCATGCTAACTTATTCGCTAAACAGCTTTTATTATCATCCTGCCAAACATAATATACTGTTTAGAAGTTGTTCGCCCTTGTTTTGGCAACTTGGTTACGACTTAGAGGAACGCACCTAGTCCGGAGTCCATTGTATGCATGATAATTTCCAAAGTCGGGCCATAGACCTGGTACATTCCCAGACGTTTCGCCGGCATCGTAGTCTGCATCGCCAGTGAGTTTTGTCATTCTTAGCACCATACTACAACCCGTCAGAGACGAGTGAAGCCGATCTTTTGACCAAACTTGTGCTAAACAGTTGTGGTATCTCTCTTTCTGCCCTG